CAACGGCTTTACTTCCCTTCCGTAAGAAGACGTGACCAGAGATTTTTATGCCTCAGAAAAAATCCCACCGACCTCGGCTGGGATTGAACCCAGACCCATTGGGGTGTTAGAACGCAGTCACGCTTACCACTACATCACTGGCGCCGGCGTCAATGCTCCTCATATTGTTAATAATTCTACTAATTCCCTGAAAAATCACTTGAAGTTCTCCTCAGTATGTACTTAGTATTCTCCTGAAATTACCATAGGAATTTCTTTCCAGTTCTGCTCAGAATTCCCATTAATTCTTTGAAATGCTCCTCATGATTTGCTTGGGAATCTCTTTTAAATTTTCTAAAAATTATCATCCGAATATCCTTCGAATGCTCCTCAGAATTCCATAGAAATTTTCCTAAAATTTGTTGCTAGCATTATCCTCGGAATTCAAAATTCAATTCTCTTGGAATTTTCGTTGGAACTACCTTAAAAATTTCCTCAAAACTCTTTTGAAATACGCTTCAAAACACTAAGTTTAGATCAAGAAAACAGCTAATATGTTAAAGCAATAAGCTTGAAATGCCATGTAGTAGTAATACAAATGGTATTTTTAAGCAATAAGTTTTTTTTTATCTGTCGCAGATTAGTATTTGAAGTCGCCGATTTCTTTTAACAAATCGTGAATTTCGCGGATTACATTTTGAAGATCTTGTAACAGCTCTGCATTTCGTAAAAAAGTTTTTAGATAATTTTATGGAGAATCCCAAGTAAGAGGTCCAACATAAGAGATGTGAGACATTTTCATGTTTTTTTTAGCATTTGTCGTTGTCAAATCATAAACGAATCATATATATGCGAGTAATTGCCATGTATACCGGATATTCTAGGTTCTCCAAATCGTCCTGGAGTTCAGTTGATTTGTTCTACTATATCAACCAAGACTGCAATAATGTCTGCAGTATCGAAATATGTCCAAACAGTGTCTATGTGGATCGTGCCCGACCTATTGCTACGTATACAATATGTTATAGGTTCTGAAATCATTCTGGAGATCAGATTATTTTTCTACTAGATCACCCAAGACTAATTCAATATCTTTAGTATCGAAATATGTCCAAACAAATTTGCAGTGTCTATGTGGATCATGCCAACCTATTTTCGTGTATGCCAAATGTTCTAGAATTTCCATATCGATATTTCGATACTACATATATTATCCCAGTCTTTGTTGATCTAGTAAAACAAATCATCTGAACAGCAGGACGATTTAGAGAACCTAGATCATCTGGTATACGTGGAAATAATTAAACTTTATCCATATCGACACTATGAATCTGTTTGGACATATTTCGATACTCCCAGTCATGATTGATCTAGTAGAACTAATCATCTGAACTTCAGAACGATTTGGAAAACTTAAAACATCTGGTATACAATGCAATAGTTCATGCATGATCCACATAGACACTGTGCATCTCTCTGGAAATATTTCGATACTAAAGACATTGTCGCAATCTCGGTTGATCTACACACTTAGAAATACCTAATCTTAAACGTGACAGAATCCATCTTTGACATAAAGGATGAGACGTAAATAAACATATCATGTAAAATTAAGTGCTTCGAGACTGAAAAGCTCGAAAGTACGTTCGATTGAACTGAATTTCGCATCTATTATGAGTCAATTTTATGTCGAAATTGACGCTCGTATATGTCAGTCTCAGAGCACCTAAATTTACATTATTTTTTCTAAGTGTGTAGTAGATCAAATTATCTGAACTCCAGGACGATTTGAAGAACCTTGAACATCTGGATTACTCGGAAATAGATCATACATGATCCACATAGACACTTTGAATCTGATTGGACATTTTTCGAAACTACAGACATTATTGCAGTCTTGGTTGATCTAGTAGAACAAATCAACTGATGTCCTGGACGGTTTGGAAAACCTATAATTTCCGGTATACATAGTAATAAGTCGTGCATGATCCACAAAGTCACATATATACGACTCGGTTATGATATGACAACGAAAAGGTTCATATTAAAAAAAAAATATATACAGGGGAAATGGCTCTAATGTTGGCCTATGGATCTAAAATTGGGCCCATCGCTAAAATCTGCTATTTATCAATTTTATCTAGATGAACGCGTCATTGGGATGGTAATAAAGGATATTTTTGGTCGCTATTGAAAATTTAGTCGATTGCTGAATTTATGTTTATGTATGGGCCCATATTAGGGACATTTAGGCCGACATTACATTCATTTCCCCTATAATGAAAATTTCTCACCATTGGACATACCCCAAGGAATATCCGTGTAAATACAGAACTGCGACGTTACCAATAAGTGTGGCTTATGAAACTCTGGTAATTTCTCAATTGTGTGCAGGGTGTTTGGTTTGAATCGGTCTAAAATTGAGAAAACTAGAGCCAAATTTACTACAACATTTAGGGCAGCAAAATACGTCAGAGACGCAAAGGTTAATTTTCAAGAAAATTTGCATTACAAACGATACTCCTTTAGCTCAGTCGGTAAAGGCGCAACTACAAAGCAAGTCCATTCTGGAGGCAACTGAGTTCAATTTCCGTCCGGTATCTACTTCCTTGGGCATACGATGGTACAGGCAGAGAAAGCTCTCAATTAAAATGTGAAAGTACTTCAAAGAACACAGAGCTGAGATCAGGCAGAAATCTAATATGCTATAAGCAATAAGCTTGAAATGCCATGTAGTATACAAATGGTGTTTTTAGGCAATAAAAGCAGGTTTTTTTTTGTCGAGGATTAGTATTTGAAGTCTCGGATTTCTTTTGAGAAATCGCGGATTTCGCGGATCAAATTTAGAAAATCTTGTAACAGCCCTGGAATTCTGAGGAATTCAAGCGAATTGAAAAAAAAAATAAAGAAGCTCCAGTCCACTCCAGTGAAAAAAATTAAAAGAAAATCTAAGGACGAGTTTCATGAATTTTACGGAGTTATCTGCAGACAATTTCTGGACTTTTATGAAGAAATTTTCAAGGGATTCCTAGATAGAATCTCACATACATATCTGAAAAAAAACACTGTAAAGGGAAATGATTTTTAAAGGGAGTGCTTGAGAATAATCAAATAAAATCGTGTACAGAGCTTTGAACCAAATTTCCAAAAATCCAAACTTTGAAAACATTGAACGCATAACTAAGTTCAAGATCTAGGAAAAATTCTGCTGTCTCAGTTTATCCTAGTGATCCTTTGGCTCAATCGTATTCGGTTTTATGTTTTATTTAAATATATAGCACAACCGGGATAATTTCCAACATTCCGGGATTTGCTCGTCACAATGGACTTAATAATTCACAATACAGATTTGAGGTATCCGTACAAAGGAAAATTTTCGTGTGTCAATCAATAGCAGATTAAGAGAAATATCATTTGACACGATCATATGTTGCGACTATCAATGAGAACCATTGAATCTTAATTTATGCGAACAGCTTCGACGGAGAAATACAAAATTTACATGCATGGAAGAAATGATTAATAATCACTTTTACGATAAGTCACAGTAATATATGCATTACTAAATGGTTTAATCACAAACGTGTAAATTGCCTACAGCGTTGAATTCCGATCTCCAAAACATACCAAATTCGCAAACGCTTATTTCCAAATATTTCGTCATTCCTTCCAACTGCGATTTTTTTTTTTTTTTTGGCAATCCAACCATCATCGTCGTCGTGACTCATCCCGCACGAATTTCGGTTATGCTGACTGTGCGCACCTCCAAACAACTTATGAGAGTGCTTTGCAGTTCGCAGGCAGCTCCTCTCCATGCAGCATGGAAGGAGGAAAACACTCTAACCTCGAGCCTTGCGTGATAACCGCTCGCGGAACTAGGCACAGATCGTCAAAAACGCATTTTTCTCCGAAGCTCAAGGTCGTTTGGTGTGGCTCCGTTGCGGCATCTAGGTCGTAAAGCGCGAAAACACACCTAACCGCGAGCAGATGTTCTTTCTCCCTGTGCTGTTGATCCACCGAGATCCGTCTGGCCTCTATTCCTGCTCCTTCTCCTCCTCCGCGTACTCCTCGTTTTACTGTTGTGTTTTTTTTTCTTCTTCCATTCGAGTGGTTCGTGGATGTGCCACGTCCACTGGCATCTCACCTCAACAACGACGACAACGACGGCGACGCGCTCAACGGGCAAGTCAAAAGACTACCGTGAAATTAACATCAAACTTGGTTTGGTGGAACTTGGAAACAGGCCGCAACTTCGCTAGGACCGTCTGATGGGGTGACTTTGGTTGGTTAATGTAGATTGCCTTATTTGGTTTGAAATCGTTGGCTAGCGTTGTGTGTTTATTGAGTTTGAAGTGGTCATAAAATCTTCAAAATTTGTCATGAAATTTCACATGAAATATTTCGTTACGAACCAATGCTATCATACTGCACAGTACTATAAAAGGAAAAAGTGTAAGCTGACAGCGGCGGCGCCCCGTGTCTTGGCTTACGACGCCGTCGTTGTCGAGACACATCGAGGGAAGGACGGACATGGAATCAAAACGTCAGAGTAACTAAATACTTCCATACAGGGCAATCTCGTGAGCTCTCGGCGGCGTGCAACAGATTGTCAGTGAGAGAAGGCCTTGTGGAATCTCGTTTCTTTTTTTTTTCGTTGTGCCTTGTATGTGCCCCTCGTCGGCGTCGTCGTCGTCGTCGTCGGCATCGTCGTCACCTGTCCCCGTTGTTGTGCTGTTGTTTCTGGGGAAGATGTTCGCGGCAATATTTGGTCGTCTCTTATTGTGGATTTAATCTGCATCTCCCTTTTTCGAACGCACCGTGTCCGAGTAATGTAGGTCGGAATTCCAATACCATCTACAATGTTGTTGTTGCTGTTGATGATGATGATGATGATGACCTCTCGAAATGAGCGTGCGCGCGCGTGAAAGGTCACACGACGACGGCAACGCGAGTCGAAGATCCGGATGGAACCTTCTGATCTGACGAGTTTTTTTTGTTTGTTTGTTTCTTCTTTTATCCAGGGATTCGTCGCGGCCAGCATCAAAGGCGAACGTGGCGATGAAGTCGAGGTGGAGCTGGCCGAAACCGGCAAGCGCGTCCTTGTGCTCAAGGACGACATCCAGAAGATGAACCCGCCCAAATTCGACAAGGTCGAGGATATGGCCGAGCTCACCTGTCTGAACGAGGCGTCCGTGCTGCACAACATCAAGGATCGATACTACTCCGGTCTGATTTATGTAAGTACCATATTCTATTTACCTATGCGGGACAATATTTCAAAAATAATAACATGAGGAAGCTTGAACAAAATGTAATCTACTACCGTTCGTCCTGCGGGAAATCCTACAATGTGGGCAGAGTATCGAATGCAAAAACAGCGAAACATGTTAAGACATCGCATCGGATTGTAGGACAACTGTATTGAAATGGGTTAACAGTTTTTTATGTAGTTAGTTTATTTGGAAGGCTCAATCGCGTTAGCTTTACGGAGCCGATAATTCATTGTGCATCGTTTGTAAAAATTCAAAATTCACTTAATTCTATGTATGTCTAGTTGGAGTTTCCTCTGTTCGAGACCTAACACCACTGCGACCAGTAATTTGATCTTTTGTAGTATATCCCGTGTCCTTAGTTTAGTGCATGTCGTATTACTCCATCACTAGTGAGAAATGATGAAGTATTCGATTTTTGTTACAGTTATCATTCTTGCATTTATCGCAAGGATCCGACTCTAATTGAAAGGTACCGCTCTTTATACCCTTCGGAGTGTTGAAACACCCTTCAAAGGCACGCCCCTTTGTCAGTCAAAATTGGATTCCTTAGCAACAAAATTAAACAATGACACCGGTAATGACCATGCATCAGAACCCTAGTCTTAACCACTTCACACTAGGGAACAACGAACACTAGGGAACAACGAATAGAAGATTAGGAATCACATTGATGAAGACTAACTAACTCATTTAATACTTGTTTCAAAATAATCCTCGGTGAACAAATCCGAGTCTTGTCACTATCAACAAGGCATAAAAATTCACAAGGACTAAGATGTGTTCCTTTGATTACTGAACAAATCCTGTTCCCCTAGACTAGGACTAGGAATCGGTGGTAGATCTTACATCCCGTAACGTACCACGATAAGGTAATCTACCCGCGTTACGAGGCAACTACTTACTCACGGCTTACCCAAGGTTAGAGGGGTACATTGTAGAATGATACGATCAGGGGAGGAGCTTGGGGTGGGGTTGCGTTGTCTCATCAGAGCGTTGTCGCCAGTATGAACGGTAGTGTGGTTCTATGTGTTAACAGTTTGATGATGAATAAAGAACATGACATGTATTTGGTGGCATTTTATGGTTCAGTGGTCACTAGCTTTGGAAATATCAGCATTCCAAAGCTAGTGACCACTGTTGTTTACTGAAGTCAGTTTTATAATTTACTAGCTGAGTGTGCCCGGCCTTGCTCGGGATTCAATATTGACTTGAGTTTATGCACCGATTTAAAAAAAAAGCATGCTATTATATTTAACCGAAGACTACAAATCAAGAAGACTGGCAACTCTGCCAAAAATCAGGAGACTGTAACGGCAACGCCTCTTCTGAGCAAAAGTGGAACCCGTGTATGACGATTGCATTTACACACATAGGTACAAATTAATAGCTGTCAATTATTGGTTTTGTTATGATTGTTGTATAAAGTGAAACGTTTCTTTCTTTGCTTTATGCTGACAACGAGTAAAACTCCAGCTTGTGCTTGTGCCATCATCCACCAGATAGGCTACAAAGTTGATTTTGTGTGCAATGACGTTTGACAGTGAGCAAAGAGTGTATCATTTTGTCATTTTTTAATGCATTTCAGTTTTGAGTAGAGTGAAAGAGATAAAACCAATATATTCTAATACATTTAGTGTTGCCATGTGGTACAATCCAGCAGTAGTGTTGCCATGTGGTACACTGAAAAATTGCAATAGCAAGTTCGTCACCAAAGCTTTCGAGCCGCTCCGTCTGAAAACTATGGCAATGATGCCATTCACAATGATAGCGGGACCTTCCTCGATCATTAATTTTCTATCTCAGAATTATCTTCCACTTTTCCTAAGCCCTATTGTGATGTATTTATGGGCATTCGTATAGTGCATTAGTAAAATGCCTGCCCGTTCCGCTCGGCTTTGGCACCTGGCCACAGTGGGGGAGTTTAAGTTGTGACACTCGGCAACTTGGCACAGTACTCGCTGACCATTTGAATGTCACTGGCCAATCCGACACTGTTGTTGTCATTCTCTGCAAGGGGTCGGTGTGTGGTGAAATGGCATTCGGCCAAATTTTCCATAGTATTTTTTTTTTCACCCCTCCCTAGCTCGAATCCTGGCTACGCTCTTGGAGGATTACTATCCGGTGGTTTCATGTTCTTGTACCGGATCTTTCTCCTTGAATTTTCAGCAGCTCAATGGTGGTAGAAACTCCCAATTCCTTATAATTGATTGCTTACAACAGGCAAAATAAACAATATTTCGATTCCTCGTTCACAAGCAAAAGTTATTTCCACTAGGCATCGATCCGAGTTTCAATCCTCTACTTGATCCACCATGACAAGTTTTTCGGTTTGGAATTGGAAAACTACCGGCTTGCTGGGATTAGGATACAAATTGCCATGAAATTTTGTAGAGCAAAACAAAAACACAAGTACCGTGTTATGATTATTCGTTTCGGTGACATTAGGTCACACACACAGTCATTGTTTATGAGCAGTCTCACTAACTCTTGTGCTTCAAAGTTCCACCTTTGATTGACAGAGGCGCTGTTATTTGTATGGGAGATGGGAACAGTTGGGGCTTCCTTTAGCTCAGTCGGTAAAGGCGCAGCTACAAAGCAAGACCATGCTGGAGGCGGCTGGGTTCGATTCCCGGTCCGGTCTAGGAATTTTTTGGGTTGGAAAATTTCTCGACTTCCCTGGGCATAGAAGTATGATTGGATTTGCCACACAATCATATCAATGCAAAAATGGTACAGGCATCGAAAGCTCTCATATAATAACTGTGGAAGTGCATCTAGAACACTAAGCTGAGAGCACGCAATAAGCTAATATGCGATATGCAATAAGCTTGAAATGCGAAGAAGGAGGATGGGAACAGTTGCCCGTCTTCTTGATTTGTAGTCTTCGATTGTACGTAGCCCCCAACCACCTCTTATCTAAGGGGCTACCCCCTATGACCATCTCCTTATAGCAAGGAATACGTATGCCAAGTTTGATGGAAAACGGTACAGGTGTTCCAGAGTTATGATGGAACATACAGACTCAATGACGTTTATATAAGGTCTGGGCCAAAGGGCTTATTGGTGTTAGTGAAATGTGTAAATGTTTAGTGGTGTTCGTATTTTATTACAATGTTTATCTTTTTACACGAAACAGCTGTTGGCAGTGACGTATTTCTATCTGTTCTCAGTATGTTAGCAATGACGTATTTCTATCTGTTCGCAGATGTTCAGCAATGTTTACAACATTTTTGCTTCTAACACCAGCAAGCTACCTGTTGGCCCAGACCTTATATAAATGTCATTGATACAGACTCACAAACATTGACTTTTATATACATATCAGAGAGGGGATGGGGTTCGAACCATCATAAGAACCTTTCCAGGGCCCAAAAACCCCTGCATTCTAATTTTCACGCCGATCGGTTCAGTAGTTTCCGAGTCTATAAGGGTCAGACAGACAGACAGAAATTCATTTATATATATACAGCAGAATCATACAACCGGTCAAAAAACAAGCCGTCCAACATGAGGATGCCCAATGAGTGGGGAGAAGAGCCCGCCCTCTATTCACTAAATGTTAAAGACAGGGAGTTGGCATTCCCACTCTCCCCATCCATTTCGCTTCAATTGGGTGCCGTGGTGGTCCCTCCTCTTCCCAGCATTTATTGGTCCATATACATAATAATATAATGTTTTATATGTAAATGCTATCATTTTGGGAAAGTATATACGGTGACCTACATTTGATGATAAAGTAACTTACCTAACTAATAACCATCTGTTTTTTTGTTATTTGTTAAATACAGGGAACTATTTGTAAAATGCACTCTCGCAAACAAGCTTTTTGATACAAATTGTAACATTACTATCGATTTTGCCAGCTCCTTGAGTTTGTATTACTTTTTTAATTTCCCTAGATGAAGTTTATTTCATAATGTAGGGAAGAGCGCTACTTCGTCGTAATCGCCCATTTCCGTTCTATCGAGCAGAAATCATTAATAATATCAATGATTTCACCATTTACAAAACAATAATACGTTTGTTCCGATGCGTTAGTTCATTAGCTACGACATAAATCCTATTAGAGCGCATTGTATGCATATTTACGCTCATTGTTCTCAAAACAAAAGAAGCGCTCCTAGCGCATCCCCTTTTTCTCCGTTCATCCGTAGGACGAAGAAAATCTAATGGCGTTTCAATGCGTTAGGACGGAATTGAAACGCGTAGGACGAATTTAGAAGCAAGAAGCAGTGTTAGATTTTTAATAATATCTCAACATTGTTTGACTCTTTATCAAATCCAATGGTACGTATGGAAAGGTGGATACATTTAGAAGTTATCTTTGATGAAAACATTCCATGTTTTGTTCAAACGCTTTCCAAAAAGCGTGGTAAAGTGCGGGATGTACTTAGTAGGACGGAAATTAGATCAAAAACCCTACCTATCATGAAAACCGATAAGCGATTCCCACTTCTTTTCCAGTATCTATATTTCCTATCCATCTTGCCTTCGTCCTCTGTAGATTCCCCATCTGAAATTTCGCTATTATCTTCTTTATAAATCTCTTCAGCTTTAACTTTAATTTTTTCCCTATCTTCAGCCAATAGTACCCATTCATTGGTCTTAATATTTGAATATCTAATTAAGTCCCGATCTAGTGATTTTTTTTTTCAAGTTAAGCTAGGGCGTCCTTTTTTTTCCTTTTGAAATTCATCCGGGTACAGAACCGTCATGTCATGTTAGCCTAAACACGTTATACCTAAATCTAGTCGAAAATTAATCAACATTACAACCACCAATTAAACTCAGAGTTGTCACTAACATTTACAAAAAGGTCAAAATCAACTCCAAATGCCTAGTTAAGTGTAGGGAGTTCCAAAACCATCTGTAATCACCAGGAGCCTCCCTTAGCTCAGACGGTAAAGGCGCAGCTATAAAGCAAGACTATGCTTCGGGTGGCTGGGTCCGGTCAAGGAATTTTT